TTGTGACCTTGATTTTGCATCGTTTTTTTTTTTTTTTTTTTTTTTTCAATTCAAATGCCTGACAGAAATACTAATGGTAAACATGTCAATTCTAAAAAAGCTTACGAATACCACCAAACTGTTTAAGCTAGGCAGCAAAGAATATTTTTTCCAGTTGAAATTAGCACAGAATTTTGGTAACTTCATTTACTACAAACTGTTGATGTGGAGGACGGTTAAGGTTTCAGAAGCTATTTAGTTCCAAAGTGTTATGATCTTGTATCTTCTCTTTAATATTGAGTTTTTAACATAATTCACTTTACTCTGAGTCCTTAAGTGCAGTCTGAGCATCTCAAATAGACTTAAACAAGCTTTATTAGTTTATAATAGATTAGAAGTCTTTTACCAAGTAATTTCTATTCTATTCCATGATGAGACATTAAAAGCAATTTGATGCATGTCTACCACAGTAAAAAAAGAAAAAAAAGAAAGGTGTTTAGGCATTACTAAACAGTTTGTAATGGTCATTTTAAATTAGTAACTAAGGACATTTTTACATGTGCTCTGGAACACAGTGCTAGGCCACTTTAATTAGCAAGCTGTGCTAATTAAGAAGTGCCCAGACATCACATGCATCAGCATTCTGACGCCAAAAAAATGGCAGCAAGGCACTCTGAACTAAAGCTCATCGAACGTGTATTATTTCAAAGCTCCCTGCCACCATTTTTTCAGCGCGGAGATGTGCTGGGAATGCTTATAGACATGATGTGGAAGGCTGCTGGAGCGCATCAATTTCTATGCTCCAGCAGACTTGATTAATCAAGTTTACTCTGACACACTGGAGTTCCAGCACATTGGAGCAGGCTCTGTGCACATTTATAGGAACCCTAGAGTACCATATAAAGTATAAAAACTCTTAAAGATTACTCTACAAGCATAAGTTGTCATAGTGCTACACAAAAAAATTAAGCTGGCTGATACTAGCTCAGATCGAGATGATACCCATTCATGTAGAAAATTCTAAATCATATCACACAACGTTACCCCCCTGAATAAGGAATTCCATTTATAATTCTCTATTACTTCCTTTTGTCCTAAAACATAGCATTGCTAAGATGGCTTTTGAAAATACAGTGGTGGGCTGGGTACCATATGATCTTGCAAATAACACATCCCAGAATAATTGACACCACCTTGTTTCTGAAAGGTAAAATGAAAAAAAATATATTTTTCTAGAGTTCATAGAGCAAGGACAGGGCCTTTGAATGACTCACCCTTCCTTTCCTGCTTAAACTAAAGCTAAAACCTGATCTGCTGCTGGAGAGTGGTCTTCACTGGTGGATCTAAGACAGTGGACTTCAAACTTTTTTCATTTGCAGACTCCTAAAATGTGCAGCTTTTGGGACTGCTATTTTATCATCACAAGCATCACAGCACTTTACACTCTTCAGAATCATTTTTAAAAGCCTTGCATCAATGATTTTGTTGTTTTGCATTAATATGACCTATGAAAAACAGGGACCAAAACTTGACACCGGGGTCCTCAGCATTAACAATTAAACACTGAATAAAAGATTGCTTTATCAAGTGACACCATGTTTGCCATATTCCTCCCTCCCTCCCTTCCCCTTTCTTTTTTTGTTGCATATTTGGGAAATTCCTAAAAGGGCAAAATTAAAAAGGAAAACTGGAGCAGCCTCTTCCTAATTAAGATTGAACTGACATGTGACAGACATGCTAATCATGCATGACAAGTCTCTAAAACATACCATGCTGCAGTGCAGGATTAAAGAAGTTTGTGGCCATATTTCAACCATGCAAGTATAGAAAACAGAGGAAGTTAGGGTTTGAAGGGGCCTCAGGAGGTCATCAAGTCCAACCCCCTGCTCAAAGCAGGACCATCCCCAACTAGATCATTCCAGTCAAGGCTCTGCGAAGCCAGGCCTTAAAAAACTTCAAGGATGGAAATTCCACCACCTCTTTTGGTAGCTTGTTCCAGTGCTTCACCACCCTTCTAGTGAGAAAGTTTTACCTAATCCAGGGGCAGGCAATTATTTGGGCAGAGGGCTGCTTCCTGAGTTTTGGCAAGCCCTTGAGGGCCGCATGACAGGCAGCCCAGGGCAGATAAATATTAAATTTTAAAAAAATTTTAAGGGCCCCATGGGACGGATAGAATGGCCTGAAGGGCCGCATCCAGTCTGTGGGCCACATTTTGCCCACCCCTGCCCTAATCCAACCTAAGCCTCCCTTGCTGCAACTTGAAATCATTGCTCCTTGTTCCGTCATGTGCCACCACTGAGAACAGTCCAGCTCCATCCTCTTTGGAACCCTCCTTCAGCCCTCCTTGAAGGCTATCAACTACAGATGCTATCAAATCCCCTTGGTCTTCTCCAGATTAAATAAACCCAATTCCCTCAGCCTCTCCTCAGAAGTCATGTGCCCAAGCCCCTGAGCCATTTTCACTGTTCTCTGCTGGACTCTCGAACCTTATCCACATCCTTTCTCTAGTGGGGGGCCCAAACTAGACACAGTACTCTAAATGTGGCCTCACAAGTGCAGAATAGAATTACTTCCCTCGTTCTGTTGGCAATGCTCCTCCTAATGCAGTCCAGTATGCTGCTTTCTTGGCAACAAGAGCACACTGCTGACTCATACTCATATCCATCTTATTATTCACTGTAACCCCCAGGTCCTTTTCTGCAGAGCTGCTAATTACCCAGTCAGTTCCCAGGCTGTAGCAGTGCATGGGATTCTTCCATCTTAAGTGTACGACTTGGCACTTGTTCTTGATGAACCTCATGGGATTTCTTTTGGCCTAATCCTCCAGTTTGTCTCAGTCGCTCTGAATCCTAGCCCTACTCACCAGTGTATCTATTACACCTCCCCCAGCTTGGTGTCATCCACAAACTTGCTGAAGGTACAATCCATCCCATCTGCCAGATCGTTAACGAAGATATTGAACAAAACTGGCCCCAGGACCAACCCCTGGGGCACTATACTTGATACTAGCTGCCAGCTACACATTAAGCCATTGATTACTACCTGTTGAGCCCAACAATGCAGCCAGCTTTCTATCCACCTTACAGTCCATTCATCCAACCAATACTTTCTCAGCCTGCTTGTAAGAATGCTGTGGGAGACAGTATCAAAAGCCTTGTCAAAAATCAAGGTATATTACATCCACTGCTTTTCCTGCATCCACAGAGCCAGTTATTTCATCATAGGAGGCAATCAGGTTGATCAAGCATGACTTGCCCCTGGTGAATCCATGCCGACTGTTCCTAATCACCTGTTTCTTCTCCAAGTGCTTACAAATGGACTCCTTGAAGGCCTGCTCCATGATTTTTCTGGGGACTGAGGTGACGCTGACTGGTCTGTAGTTCCCTGGATCCTCCTCCTTCCCTTTCTTAAATATGGGCACTATGTTTGCCCTTTTGCAATCATCTGGGACCTCTCCTGATTGCCATGAGTTTTCAAAGATGATGGCCAGCAGCTCTGCGATCACACCAGCCAACTCCCTCAGCACTCTTGGATGCATTGCATCTGGCTCCATGGACTTATACGTCCAGCTTTTCTAAATAGTCACTAACCTGTACTTTTACCACCAAGGGCTGCTGACCTCCTCCCCAAACTGTGCTGCCCAGTGCAGTAGTCTGGCAGCTGACCTTGGCTGTGAAGACCAAGGTAAAGGAGGAGACACTGAGTACTTCAGCCTTTTCCTCATCATCTGTCACTAGGTTGCCTCCCCCATTTAGGAAGGGACCCACACTTTCTCTGGCCTTCCTCTTGTTGCTAACATACTTGTAGAAACCTTTTTTGTTACCCTGCAAGTATCTGAAAAAGGCTTAAGAAAAATACAAACAAAACCTCAAATATTTATTCTAGATTAAACAGCGACAGTGTGCGTGGAAAGCAGAAGGGGTGTTATAGGACCTTACATCAGCATTCTAGACCAGGTAGCTAGATTTCTTGAATGGTATAATCCCTTTGTGTAAACATACTGACTTTCAAAGGGCACTCTAGTTATAACTGAACAGGAATTTTCCCTTTGCCAGCTTTACCACATAGTCAAACCAATTCTTTGGTGTTGGAATGCAAAACTGCTTTCCTTTGGTCATTCTGCTTGGGAAGATGTTATTTAATTACAGATATACAAGACTCAGTAAAAAGCTTGAGGGGAAAAAAGATCAGAGAGAAACTTTCAAGTAGGTATGTTTTATTTTAAATACCAATACAGTAGTGTTCCAAGGTCACTTCAGAATTAACATGGCATACAGGCTATTGAAGTGAAGACAGCCCATGGTAGACGTACACAATGAATTCTATACCACAAAGCGACATTAAGAACATCTCTTATTCCAGAATAATTTGGCAGCTTCAGAGGTTATTACATGCTTTCATTTTTAAAACCAAAACAAGCCTGTTAAATAATTAAATCAGAAAACTTCAGAAACTGTTCCACCCCTGTCCAACCAAACATCTATCTCAGTAAAGGCCCCTTTGAAAATCTGGATGTAGAAGAGCTGTCTTTATCTCGACCCTCAAAGTACTGCTGCTCTATTCTTCTGCAAAATGCTACAAGGTTGCTGTAGTTTTTCACTTTTTCAGAGAGTTCATCGCTGGTCAGTTGAGTAGTGAGAATAGTGAAAAGGTGTCCAAATACCAGAGCATCTAGTTCTGTTGGCCTACAAAAGGGTGAGGGGAGGGGAGGGGGGAGATAAAAAAAGGTCTCTAGAAGTCAAACCACAATGAAAAAAATCTCTCTTTTATTCATAATATTCTTTTAATATTCAGTTCACTAAATTCCAAGCATTTCATGAGGTAATCTAACTGGCCATTTTAAACCTTTAGTTCTGTTTGGTTAAGATGATGAATTAAATATGGTATTTTATGGATAAATTAATACATGTTGCTGTTAATTCTCAGCATGATTCTCAAATTAGTCACGTAGAAATGAAGAAAACAAAATTAAAAGCCACAGTCTTCCGGTCCAACAACAGCTTTGAACTTTCTGGGATGTAGAAATTTTTATTAGAAATTCATTTTTCTGAGGCGCAGAAAATTCATTTTTCTGAGGGGGGGGCAGGCAGCAGTTTCTTGATTAAGTCTGTAGTCACACTCAGGACTTTGTATACAAGCCTTCTATTGTCTGCCCACAAACTTTTCCACAATACTGGTCAATATGCAAAAAAATAAAAACATCTTTGGTACACCTGAACAAAGTAAAAGCTCTATACCTTTCACCCAGAAGAATCTCTTACTGGACTAATAGGTCCAGTAAGGGTTTCAGTGATATTTCAGACAACTTTAAAAAAACTTTTTAAAATTACTTTGAAAGTATGTTACTGAAGTCTAGTTAACAGCTGGCATAAGTATGGTTATGCTCTGGGAAAAGCCAACAAGCCAATGTCCAGTAATTTACTTCCCCATTTCCTTCATTTCTGACCCTGTGGAAGGGCTGGACAAGACACACCCTCACTATGCACTCTCCTGCTTCCTTTACATAAACTTCCTATAGTAAGCCCTTAGTTAACCACAACCTGCTTTTTTAGCCTGTAATGGTACAAGCAGTTTTAATTTATCATTGTGATCTACCCTTAATTGTTACTCTGTAACATTTTAAAAACTAGTCCAGACATGAACCCAGGATTATAAAAAGAGTACAAGATAGCATTTTTAAAAATATATTCCCCCCCCAAAAATGTCTATTTTTACATCTCTTGATGGTTCAAATGCCCTGGCAATGGATGCGTACAAGGATCTTAGTCAACTGATGAACACAAAGGGGATGCTGTATGTCCTATCAGCTCATGGTTGAGGTTTTGTAAAAAAAAGTACAGAATTTGCACAAGCAAAGCATCTTCTTCTGTGCAGTTAAATCCTTCATTAAAGAATATCAGCACTTTCACACTACCCAATAGTCCAGGATAAGCATGAAGATGATAGTTGTTTAACTCCTTCAACACTCACTTGACATAACCTATACAGGAAGAGCTGTCTTGATGAAAACTGCATCATCATACACGCTTTGACTGATGGACCAAAGCTTATACTGTGATGCTATTATACCTAAATATATTAAAGCACACTTTTCTCTTTTACAGAGAGCTTTTCAACTACATAAATTGTATATTCAATATCAAATCACAGGAAAACAAGAAAAAAACTTTTAAAGAAAATGTTTCTATTAGAGGTGCACCAATACATAGGTCCCATATTGGATCGGGACTGATAAGGAAAATTGACTTCATTGTCAAATCGGCTATTTTTGGCTGACGTGGCCGATAACATCACCAATAAATTAGGGCTGTGAGAAGCTTTGGAAGCTGATTCGATTTGGAGGAGATATGGCAACCAAAACTCCAAGTCCGAATCGAATCAGGAGACCCATTAAAAGGTCCAAATCGAATCAGAAGCCTCTGAATCGATTCGGAGATTCAGCCATAGACTACACAGGCAGTTCTTGCCGACGCTGGAAACAGTTGCCTCCAGCTAGTAAGTCTGTTGCGGTGGGCAGGAGGGAAAGAGTGACGTGGCGGGGGGGGGGAATCAACACCCCAACAGCAAGGGAGGGATTGGGGCTGGGGCTGGGGCTAGGACAAGCTGCTGAGCTGAGGCAGTGAGGCATGGGACTCAGGGAGGGGGATTCCTGCCACTGCACACCACCACATGCTACCAGTCCAGGAGCTGCTCTTCTGGTGGCTCCTCTGGCAGCTGTTGCTGCTGGTCTGGGAGGGCATGGGAGTGGGCATGTGCCCCTGGATCTGTGTGGGGTGGGCTGGGCTAGGCTCCAAGAAGCTAGCCCCAGCTGCCTACCCACTGTGCTCTGCAGGGCAGGTGGAGCCAGGACTATACACTCCAGGAGGCTAGCCCCAGCCACCCACTGCGGGGCCGCTGCTGAACATGCTGAGGGCATGGGGGGGCGTGTGCTCCCAGATCTGTGCGTGAGGCGAGGACAGGCTGCTGCTGCAGGCTGGGGGTGGCACTGGGACAGGCGCTGCAACAGGGGCTATAGCAAATTTTGGGGTGGTTGTGGCCCCCCCATAAACCCTCCTCCCAGCACTGCTGCTATCCGCCCCAAGCACAGCCCTTGCCCAACCCCCCCTCCGGGAAGAGCTTGGTGCAGCCCCACCCCGTCCTCAACCCACGCACACAGCTGGGGGTACATGCCCCCATGCCCTCCCAGAATGTGTGCAGTGGAGGGAGCTGCCCCCCTCTCCTCCCAGCTCCATGCCCTATTCCACCCTGGCTGTGCAGTGCCTGCCTCAGTCCCAGCTCCACTCCCTCCTTCACCACAGGGGCCTCCATCTGTTCCCCCCACAACAGACTTACCAGACAGACACCACTCTTCATACTGCCCAACTGAATATTGAAAAAAAAATCAGATCAGTATTGGCCGATATGGCTAGTTAAAAATCAGCCACCAGCATCAGCACAAAAATTCTGCATCAGTGCACCCCTAGTTTCCATAAACTATTTCAGAAATTTGCAATTACTTCACTATTTCAGAAAATCTTATGTATGCAATATAAAGATTTATTCCCATATTTTAATTACTTATAAAATATTAAAGAATGACAAGTATACCATATTTAGATACATATTCTCTGGACAGTAATACAATACTAAACCACTTCAACACAGTAACTTACAGCTTATTGAAGAAGTATGGCTGCGTTCCCAACCTCTGAGAAAGTGCTTGACAACACTGATCTACATCTTCAAGCACCTAACCAAATATGCATCAGATTAGTATCCAGAAGTGTCAGAAAACACCCTCATCTCCAAAACAGCTTCTTTACTGCATGTATATCAGTAGTAGGAATTTACAATAAATGAAGTTGCCCAGGTAGCCTGTATGTATGTAGTCTCACATTACAAAGATTTCCATATTTTAAACCCAAATTATGTTTGGACTTGAGGACATTTTGATTAACAACTTTGCTTAACATCAGTAATTCAGTTTAAATTAAGCCCACTAAAGTTTTACCTCAAGACTGCTTTGTATTTTTCTTACACCCCAACATGTAAAAGGAACAATCCTGGAAAGGAAGTCCATTAACAATTTAGGAGTAGGGGCTCATGCTTGCTAACCTCTTTTTACGTTCAGGGCTTACTCTACCATAAACAAATAGATGCAACTCCTAAGCAGCAAAGGTAGGGCAGGATAGCACTTTAGGGCACATCCTGATAAGCGCAGCTGTGTGGTATGTGGCACTGCGAACACATTTGCAGCACCACATACCACACAGTCCAGTGTTCTCTGCACTGCAAGGACACACTGCCCAAGCATGTGCTGCACTGGGTTCCCCCCCCACCCACAGGTTTTTTTTGACCCTTGGATATCCAGGGGTAAAAACAAACAACCAAACAAAAAAAAAAAAGTGGGAAAAACCTGGTGCACCACAAGCTCAGACAGCATGCGCTGCTGAAAAGTGGAGCTGGGCCACCTGGAGCTGTGCTGCAGCTGCCAGCCAGGCTCTATGTGGCAGAATTGCCACAGCTGCAGCCGTGGGAGGCCCCCAGGACCCCAGGTAAGGCTGCTGGGGCCAGCACAGTGCTGGCCCCAGCCTCCCTTACCCCACCCGGAGCAATTTGCTGCACACCAAAACATGCGCAGCACTGGCATTCCTCGGGGACAAGTAGCAGCAGTGCAAGGTGCGCCACCGCTACTTGTCCCCAGGGAATCAAACATTCATGCACATCTGGATGTGCCCTTAGAGGCTAATGGATCATTCATTGTTGCCTATGAAAATTCATGACACTCTGAAACAGTCTCTAAGGCCGCGTCCACACGAGCATGCACGTGTGTTGAGGTGTGCCTCAAAAGGTGTTTGAGTAGGAGTTTGACGCTACAGAAGGCACACCACACATGAGAAAGTGTTGCGCCCACAAACCTGACACCCCCACACCTATACCCCTGCACAACCCCCCC